CACACACACACACACACACACACACACACACACTGACTTTCCCTCTCCACCGTTCACTTCCACCTCCCCACCCCCACCCCTCTTCCCTGCACATCTGTTAATCTGCTCAGGGACTAGCAGAAGACAGAGTTTTCCAACCCTCGGTGCGTTCACGTGTCATGCGATTCATCACCGCCGAGTCTCGGACGAGCAGGAGTTCTGAGAAAGTCAGACTTCAACCCAAACATGGACCCTCAACCTAAATCCAATTAGGGGGCTGCTCACGGTAGCTCAGAGCTGAGAGTGGGCTTTTACTGGATCCTGAAAAATACGAGCCGATGTTTTGGCTGCTTCCTGACAGCAACGTCTGTAAAATCCACTTCATTTTATCTTGTTTTCTCTCTCTCTCTCTCTAGAACTGAATAAACTGTTTTACTATCCAGACAGCAACTTATCTGTTTTGGTGGCAGTTTTTGTTATTTAAAGGAAAAGGGAAATGATGCTTCAAAGCCATTCCTGCATGAAAGGCCCTATGATTTCCGCGATGTGAAAAAAAAAAAAAAAAAAAAAACGCAGACGGAATTGCAGAATTTACCAAACAAAATCGAATCCAGGCTGCGCCCTTCGACGTGTCGCCTGCTCACATCACCGTCTTACGCCGAAGGTTGTCCCAATGCGTGGGTTCCTACGCATGCAGCGGATGAACGTAATCCCGTGATTTATTGCGCAGTCAGCAAACTAAACCAAAAAAGCGGACAGTTTTTTTGTTTGTTTTTTTGTAGGTACGCTGCAGAACCAACATAAGATGCGTAATCTCACGGAACTCATTCTTTTGGGCGAGTTTCTGGGGTATTTTGGCCGCTGCCACTCCCTGTAGATGCCATTGCCTGGTTACGTGCACATGTCTGGACTCCTATCCTCACAAACGGATAAAAATGAAAATTAAAAATAAAAAATAGGTCAGCCGTGGCGAAGAGTCTCGCTGAAACATCCTCCAAATTAAAAAGTGCAAATCAAAGTTTAAAGGAACAGTATAGGCAATTTTATGAATCTGGAAAATTTTCTTAAAGTTTTGTTGTTATGTGTGCGGAATCAGATATTCATTTAAAAAAATTAAAAGCTTTGTCCATTTTTGATAAAGCAAAAGTAAAAATAACAGATCCTATTCATTATTGTGCAAAAAATTACTGTTTGTATGTTTTATGTTTCTTTATGAGACATGTTGTGTTACTGTAAAGCAGAGGTTCCCAAACTTTTCAGCCTTTGACCCACAAACTACCAACAGCAGAGACCTGTGCCCCCAGCTGTAATAAACATTGTTTTCGTGTCAAATAAACAAGGGCATAGTAACAATATTTATTACGCTTTTTTTCTCCATTATAAATACACTAACCTTCCTCTTTGGCAACAACAAAGGCCAAAAAAATGCTGTTAGCTGTATTTTTTTAGTGTAATTAATTCAGAAAATCTTTTCAGGACCCCACTTTGGGTCCCAACCCAACTTTGGGAACCACTGCTCTAAAGCATTTTTATTTTACAAAAGGATAACTTTTTATGTGAGGTATGTGATATTCCATTTTTACACATAAATGGTATTTTTATTCTTTAAAAAGACAGGTAAATACGAAGGGTAAAACATACAATTCGGTTCGGTTCGATACTTTAGTGTCACGGTTCAATATTTTTTGATACAAAAAAGAGAAATTTCCATGCCCTTCTTAACTTGTAGCGTATTGAAATTAATTCTGAACATTTGTTTAACCTCAAAAGTACATTTTTAAATTAAGTATGGCTGAAACAACAAGTTTCTCAGTGGATCTGCACTCGACAATGCAGCCTAGGTGGAGTAGTCGAACACAGATCCACTGAGTCTTCAACACAGCGCATCTTCAGAAGGGAAGCTGATAAAATAAAATTTAAAAAGCTGTATTGTTCAATAAAAGTGTGTATTGAACCTAAAGCACTGTATTGAACGGTTCGATACAGATACATGTATTGTTGCACCCCTAGTATAAACTTTTAAATACCTTGCAAAAACTTTTAATGTTCTGCTGAACCACAGCAATTTGTT